TTTAAACCTGGATAGTAGAACAGTATTTTAAAGAAATGTAAAGTTTATCCCTTTAACATTAAGGACTAAGCTATTGTTAAAAAGATAATTTAAGATTTTAAATTAAAAGGATAACTTTTTTATATTATATAACTTATCTTAATATTTTTCCCTATATTTATAATTTAGCATATAATGCTTAACCTTTATTATAAGGGTTGTATAATAATAGATGTAAGAAATTTTAATAAGATTAATCTTAATAATATATATCCTATAAAATCCTAAAACTATATATTTAATAAAATTATAGGTAAAAAATTTATTTCCCTTATAAATATAATTACCTTTTACTATTAATAGCGTTCCTACCTATATATATATTAGGCTATAATTATATAAACCTTAGGAGGATAGTATATATTTAATTGCTTTATTATAGGTTATAAGAATAGTAATATATATATTTAATGTTAAATAGATATAGTATTTAAACTTATACTTAATGTTAATTGCTATTATAATAATATTTATATTATATTGTTTAACTTTATTAAGCATTATAACGATTTATATATTACCCTTACTATTTTTTAATAGTGTAATATTTTAATTAATCCTTTAAAAACCTTTATTAAATTCCTTAATGTAATAGTATTAAGTTATATAGTTAATTCTTTTGGTTTATTTATTATAAAAGAATAATTAGCTATTATTAAAAAAATCCAGTTCTTTTATACTTTTAAAGATTTTAAAACATTTTTAGGTATAGTTAGCTATATAAGATCTAATGTATTACGATATATTAAAATTATTAAATTATTGGAAAAACGTAAAACTGATTTTTTTAAGGCTACGTTATAAAAGGGATCTATAAAGATAGAATGGAAAAGATAAGCATCTAGTATACCTTTTAACCGCTTAATTAATGTAGAAAAAACTGCTTTTTTTATAATTAAAAAAGCCCTATTTAAATATACATTATTATATTTCTTTTTATTAAACTAACTTCTTTATATTAATTTCGATATATTTAAAATTAATATTAAAGTAATTATTTATTATATAATTAATAACTTATTGGAAAAAATTTTTAAAGTTACTTAATCCTCTTACCTTTACCCTTTTATAATTAAAAAACTTTTTACCTTTCCCCTATATATAGCTATATAACCTATAGCTTTTCTTTTATATATTTTAATAGTTAAGGAGAAGATATATTAGCTTATAGAAATAGAAATTCTAAGTTTTATTTAAGCTTTTTATAAAATATATTATTAATTAAATATTGCTTAAGTAAATATTTATATTTTTATAAATTATAACTTTATTATTAATTTTTCTAATTATAAAGACCTGGTTAATTCCTTTACCCTTAATAATAAAAATCTTTATTTTATTTATATAATAAAGTATATTAACCGCTTTAAATATATAGTTATATATAAGCTAGGGAAATTATATATTATTCCAGATGTGTTATTTTATCTTTCCTTTATATTAAATAGTATAATTTTTTAAAATAATTTAAAGTTTTTTTTAAATAATTTAGAAAAATATTAGCTGGAAATTTAAAAGAAAATCCTTAATAAAGTAAACCCGTTGTTTTGGATAAAAGTGGATATATATACCTTTTTTACAGAAATCCTTTTAACTTTATAATTTATTATAATTTATAGTCTTTTAGGAAATCCCCCTTTTATTAAAGGAATACCTTTTATATAAATATTATTAAAATTTAAATAATAATTATAGTAAGGATATTATAAAAATAAAAAATAAAAGAGTACCTTAAATGTTATTAAATATAATATATTTCTTAAGTTAAAGGATAGGGCTTAGCTTTTATTTTACTTTTACGATAGTATACTTTGGAAAATTTTAAATATTTTAAATAGATTTTATATTTCCTGATTTTATTTTATAGAAATCTTTTATTTATTATATGGAAAGAACTATATTGGATTAAATAAGTTTTAAAATTTACTTTTTAATTTTATTATTAACTATTAAAAATTAAAAAAATATTTAAAAAGTTACCCTTAATATATATTATTTAAAATTAAACATTATAAGCTATATAGATTATTATAATTAATTATAGGATTACCTTATCCTTTTTATATAATAACCTTTAATATAGCTATAATCTTATTAAAATCCTATTAAGGTTATAATACTATTTTTCCTATAATATATAAATTTTCCAAAGTAACTTAAATTATCCCTAATTAATATAACTGGATAGCGTCCTAATAGGCTAACGCGGTAATTAGCTGTTTACTTTTTATTTTATAGGGTATACCTAAAATAATTATTAGTAATAAAGGTTTTAAATTTCTTTTAAAATTTTAGCATATAGTTTAAATAGCTTTTAATATATATCTTTTTTATACTATAGTATATTATTTATTTATAAATGGATAAATTAAATGTTTTATTTTTATAATTAAATTAATATTTAAGTATTATTTTTATTTTTTAAAAAATTTTACTAATTAGGAAGATTTCTTTTTAAAATTATAATATAAGATTAATAATATAAGGTTAATTATTATATATTAAACCCTTAATAAAATAATTTTAGGATTTATATTTAACCTTATATTTAAATTTCTTTAAAATGATTAATTAATTAATTTATTTAATTATATTAATATATATAATATTATAGTTTTATCCTTACTATTAATTAAAGTATATTACGATTAGAAATATAAGCTTATATTTTTTAATATTAATTAATGCATTTTACTTTAATTTTATAAAGGATATAATATATTAAAAGTAGCTATTTTAAGTAAGAAGTTTAATTAATAATATATTGGGCTATTTATTATCGATAAAAAAATAGAATGGTTAGCTTATAAATTTAAATTTTTAAACTACTTTAATATTAATAATGTTATTTTAATGGACTATTTTAAGCTAGCCTTTTCCTTTAATATCTTTAAAAAATTTCTATTATATTTTAAGGATGTATATATTAAATAATATATAAGATGCTTTATTAATAAAAACTATAATATATATAAATATTTTATAAAATATATTAAACTTAAACTTGAATATTATAAATAGGTTATATTAATAGAATTAAAAAATAAGGTAGGAAGTTTATTAGTAGATTATAGATTTAAAAGATTAGTTAAATAAGTAGCAATAGTGGAATTTTAGAAGAAAAGGATTTTAGTAGAAGAAAACGATAAGGGCATCGTAGGAATCTTTCGGAAGGGGGTAGCCTATTAAATAACCTATAGGGTTCTTACCCCATATAAGTAGACCTCTATACACAATAGTCACAATATTAAAAAACCATCCTAGTTATAACTCACTACCGATCAATACAACCAGATTGCCAAGATCATCACCACCGCGCTACAATGTATCACTACGAAGGATGCGTAATAAGGCATATGCACCGGTGACGGACTCAGCACATCAACTTACTTACATGTATCATTTAAGTTCGATAGCTTCGTTGGATGAAGTGAGCATACCCCACCCTGGGTCTTGAGACTTCTTCGGCTCCGTGGGTAGGTATCAACTCAACCCCAAAGCTTCATCTACCTACTCATGTGCACCCATCGCCCTGTATCACTAGAACCTACTACATCGTATTTACCTGTCATCCTACAACAGCGTACCTCTCCTAATGCCATACCTTACTCCGAGAAATCGACGCCGCGAGGTACTCCCAGCATGGCGGGACTCTTGACAGGACCGTATATAGTCATCTCTTCGCTCCATCGGTCGACAACTTCACTAGGGAAATATGCATCCTGCTGGAGGCTAAGACAGGCAACTTCTAGACAATGCAGTTCTACCTAAACTATTACGCTACACGAAGAGGAGTTATCATAGACCGTATCAAATGTTCACTGGCCACGGTGCCTGAAAGGTTCCTTCTTTCCTTTATTTCTCCTGCAGCCTCGGTTATGCATACATTCTGCCGCCTGATACAGCATCCAACCGTTTAACCTAGTTTCTAACCGACGGCCTATGCAGTGTTTACGAAGTATGCTTCAATGACCTACAGAAGCTTCCTTCAACAGCGGCCACGGAGTCATGCGTAGTTGCAGATTACACCCTACAACAGAGGCCAATGCTTAAAGAAAGTATATACTATCAAAATGATATACTATGCTGCAAAGGTAGCTGGCTGCAGACATTGTTACTAGGATTTGGCAAACTCCAGAATTTCTAGATCGAACGTTGTGTCGAGACATAATACAGTACACCATCACAACAAAATCGTATGGTAGACGATCAACAATTTGGCGCTTAGGACAAACTACTACGTCGAAGCCGAGTCATCGCAATAAGTATGCAGTTTTGGTCCTGTTGTCGTAGCTCGATAAGTCATTGTAATAGGTTTTCATTCCATATTGTAGACATTGGCCAATCTTAAAAAAGAACGGTACATCGGACCTGCCGCGTCGTAACGGCGCTGTCGACGCAGCGAGTCTTTCGGCCTCTACCACCGATCAACCGTCCTCACAGTTGTAGATAATTCGAAGTTCAATCACCCCATCCTTTGTTTTACGAAATTGTCGGGAATGTGAGGAAGGATCTAGAGGACAGCTCGCCGCGACAAATCTTGAAGATATACGACGATGGTTCAGTCCTCGCAGCGGAATTAGGTAGTATTTCTCCTCAGACATCTGCTAGACCATGGCTCGTTGGTAATATCTTGCTTTCAAATAGCACAGCATCCATTTTCTATTTGCTGATATTTGGCTCGCCATAAAAGCAAGGTCACGCAGCGCTCTTCGAGTACTTTGTCCCCCTGACATAGATAGTCGCCCGCCCTTCTTCCTTGGACTCATTACGAAGGGGGGGGGGGGGGGGGGGGGGGGGGGGGGGGGGGGGGGGGGGGGGGGGGGGGG